CTGTATACATAAATAAATAAATCTTTAAAAAAAAAAAAGATTTTAAAAATCTTTTATTTCATGTGTGTGTACCTGGGTATGTATATGTGCACCACAAGTGTACAGGAGCCCCCAGATGTCAGAATAGGCATCAGACCCCCTGGAACTGGAGTTACAGACGGGTATGAGCCACCATGTGGATGTTGGGAACTGAACCCAGGTTCTCTGTATGGCTTTGAGTGCTTTTAACTTCTGAGCCATCTTTCTAGCCCTGAAAACAACCAATTTTAAAATGGGCAAAAACATGAAAAGGTAACTCACCAAAGAAAATCTAATAATGAATAAAAAAAAAAGTTGAGTATCATTAAGTATCATTGAGTCATTAGAGAAATGGAAATTAAAATGCTACTCCATAACTATTAAAACGGCTAGAAGATAGTGGAGACAGGGCTGGGAGTACAGCTCAGTGGTAAGTGCTTGTCTAGCATGTATGAGACCTGTTTCCCAGCCCACAAAAAAAGAAAACAGCAGTAATACAACTGCTGGCATGGATACAGAACAACCAGAGTTACTGTATGTGGCTGGTGGGGATGCAAACTGGTGCAAGTACCCTAAAAAAATATTACTGAGGGGGAGAGAGTGTGTGTAGGGGGGTGAAGGGTATGTGTGAGTTTGTGTGGTGGGGGGGAGTTTGTGTGGTGTGTGGGGGGGTGAGGGGTATGTGTGAGTTTGTGTGGTGGTGGGGAGTTTGTGTGGGGTGTGTGTGGGGGGTGTGTGTGTGTGTGTGTGTGTGTGTATGTGTGTGTGGTGAGGGGTATGTGTGAGTTTGTACAGTGTGTGTGCTTGTGTGTGTGTGTGGTGAGGGGTATGTGTGAGTTTGTACAGTGTGTGTGCTTGTGTGTGTGTCTGTGTGTGTGGGGGTGGTGGTGAGGGGTATGTGTGAGTTTGTGCAGTGTGTGTGTGTGTGTGTGTGTGTGTGTGTGTGTGTGTGAGTTTGTGCAGTGGGGGGGGTGAGGGGTATGTGTGAGTTTGTGTGGTGTGGGGGGGGAGGTATGTGTGAATTTGTGTGGTGTGGGTGTGGGTATATGTGGTGAGGGGTGTGTGAGTGTGTATGTGACTGTGAGGGGGATGGATAAGAGGTATGTCCGCATGCCACAGCACTCATGTGGAGGTGAAAAGATGACTTTGTGAACTCAGTTTTCCCTCCCAACTTCCATGGGTCCCAGAAACCAAACAGAGGTTGTCGGGCTTACACAGCCAACCCTCTTCCCACTAAGCATCCCACCAGCCCTGGTAATATTTTTATAAAGTTAAACATGTGACTACAACACATACTAGGAATCTCACTCCTGGGTATTTATTTACTCTAAGGAAATGAAGGCTTAAGTTTATATAAAAACCTCTACAAAGTTGTTCATAGCAATTCTATTCATAATTGCCAGAAACTGGAAAAGTCCAAATGATGTCTAGTAACAAATGGATGAAGAAGCAAAACTGTAGCATCCATGAAGTAGAAGCCAACTCAGGGGAGTGAGGATGGACTACGGATCTATACAGCCCAGGAGACGCTCACACACACCCTAAGTGAGGATGGACTACAGATCTATACAGCCCAGGAGATGCTCACACACACCCTAAGTGAGGATGGACTGCAGATCTATACAGCCCGGGGGACGCTCACACTCACCCCCTAAGTGAGGATGGACTACAGATCTCTACAGCCCGAGGGACGCTCACACTCACCCCCTAAGTGAGGATAGACTACAGCTCTATACAGCCTGGGGGATGCTCACACACACCCTAAGTGAGGATGGACTATGGATCTATACAGCCCGGGGACGCTCACACACACACCCTAAGTGAAAGAGGCCTGGGTCAACAGCCTATCAGATGATTCCATGAACATGACATTCAGGAAGACAAAAACGAATACCACTAGGATGGGAAAAGCAGCTCTGAAAGGGCTGCCTGTGGCCATGAGCCTGCTCTAGATTTGAACAGTGATGACAGTCACAGAACTCTATGCATTTTAGAGACCCTAGCTCTAAATAAACAAATCAGAATCCATACAAATTAGAATCCAAAGCTAATTTCACTATTAAGATAATTCTGAATACAATTTTAATTTTTAATCCTTCCATCCTGGCAAACTAAGAAAAGAATTTTTTAAGAGGTTTTTTTTTTTTTTTTTAAGATTTATTTGTTTATTATGTATACAGTGTTCTGCCTGGTCCCTGCAGGCCACAAGAGGACACCAGATCTTGTTATAGGTGGTTGTGAGCCACCATGTGGTTGCTGAGAATTGAACTCAGGACCTCTGGAAAAGCAGTCAGTGCTCTTAACTGCTGAGCCATCTCTCCAGCCCCCAAGAAAAGAATTTTTTAAACTTTGAACTTTTAAGTAGACCATCTATATTTTTAAAAAAAATCTCTCAAGAACAAAAGAAAGAAAAAAAACTATGCTGGTCGGTGGTGGAGCACATCTTTAATTCTAGCACTTGAGAGGCAGGGGCAGGTGGATCTCTGTGAATTTGATGCCAGCCTGGTCTACAGAGCAAGTTCCAGGACAGCCATGTCTACACAGAGAAACCTTGTCTTGAAAAACAAACAAACAAACAAAATCTCCCAAGGCTCAGAAAACAGAAAGGAGAGGAAGAGAAAGATTCAAAGAGCTAAAGGTCCAGGGGCTGGAAAGATGGTTCAACAATTAAGAGCATTGGCTGCTCTTGCAGAGGACTCAAGTTCAGTCCCAAGCACCCACATGGTGGCTAAGGATAGCCAATAAATTCTGTTCAAGGGGACCCATTCTCCTCTTCTGGCCTCCACAGGCACTGTACACGTGGTGCATTTACAAATAGGCAATACACTAATACACATAAAATTAAAAATAGATAAATCTTTAAAAAGAAAAGAGATAAAGGTCCAGAGGCAAACAGCATCTCTGTACATAAATATCTAATGCAGACGTTAGTTCACAGCAGCTATGGTTGCCTGCAAAAGACCTGCACAGGGCAAAGCAGGGAACATTCCAGCAGAGAGGAAGCTGAGGGCTACTGACTGTTGATGGCTGCCAGGGGAAGGAGAGTCAGTTTTCTTTAGGGGGCACGGTCCCCTGGTAGGTCAAGCATCTCCATTCCCAGTCTCTGTGCGCCCCCCCCAGTGTGTATGCGTGCATGTATGCGAGCAAGCGTGAGTGTGTGTGTGTGTGTGTGTGTGTGTGTGTGTGTGTGTGTGTGTGTGTGAGCACCCATGCCACAGCACACATGTGGAGGACAGAGGTCAACTTGCAGTAGTCAGCTGTCTCCCTCCACCATAGAACCCAGCATTTGCCCCGAGTTTGTCAGGCGGGGCAGCAAGCACCTTTCCCCCACTCTCTCCCTCGCCAGCCTCTGGGAGATGCTTCAGCATACTTGGTTGAGAGAACTAACGTTATACGTGTTAAGTTGCACCATCTGGTGCATGAAACACATTTGGTATCTTTTTAAGCTTCTTTATAGTTGTGCTTATACCTTGCCTTAAAATGGCTGTTTAAAATATGACCGATATGCAGAACCTGCAAGGGCTTCAAAGACAAGTGACTCGAAAATACTACAACCTAACAAAACCCTTCCTCACAGCGTCCCACTCCATCATGTGTCCTGGGTTTCCTGTGGAACACACTTTGTAATGAGGAGCCTGGAAATGGAACGTCCGCCTCTTTTATCCTCTCCTATGACAAAAACAACACAGGAGAAGAACATCTAATATTGGCAAAAGCCGAGAAAGAAACCTAGAGACAATTTTACATGGGAGTACATAAATTTCTTGAAGATAATTTGGAAAAAGACTCAAACACACACACACACACACACACACACACACACACATGCCTTTTCCACTTCTAAGAATTCAAGTAAGAAAGGAATCAGACCACTCAGGACAACGTCATTACATTAAGGAAAAACAGAAAGATGAAGACTATGTTAAATGGAATACTGAGTAGCATTCAAAAAACGACGTTATCGGAGCCAGGCATAATGTCACATCTTGTCATCTCAACTACACAAGGCTGGAGCAGGAGGACAACCTGAGCCCAGGAGTCTTAGAATAGCCTGGCCTGGGCAACACAGCCAAAGCCCCTGTCACAGAAAAAAGGAAGGAAGTTGGGTGGGTGGGGAAGGGAAGGGAAGGAAAGAGAAAAAGAAAGAAGCCATTTGAAATCTATGTCATGACTTTAGTCATGACTGTTGGAATTTCATTTTGATCTCCAAAGAACAGCTGAAAGATTGAGGTTTTTGTCCAATGACAATTATTCCTGACAGAATGCTGTTTCAAACAAAGCAGAATATAAAATCATACATAATCCAACTTGGTTTGGTTTTTTTGTTTGTTGGACAGGGTTAGCTCAGGCTAGCTTCAAACTCAAGCTCCCCCCACTTTCAGCCCCTGAGTGCTATGGGATCTGTAATTACTTCATGACCTTTCCTCCTTTTGCTTTCTAACTTTTGGGTTTTGTTTTTTAAAAAGTCTCACTAGTTATCCCAGACTGACCTTGAACTCTAGATTCTCTTGCCTCAGCCTCAGAATGCTCAGATTTCAAGCATGCACCACCATGCCTGGTAAAAGTTTGCTTGTCTGTTATCATCCTAGTAACAGAACTTCACTGTTCTAGAACCGTTATAAAGGTAGACTTATTTACTGTTTATGTGTATGAGTGTGGGGCCACTGTATGTGTACTGGTGCTCACGGAAGCCAGAAGAGGCCACTGCATCCCCTGGAACTGGAGTCCTAGGCAGCTCTGAACCACCACGTGGATGCTGGGAACTGAACCTAAGTCTTCCAGAAGAGCAGTAAGTGCTCCTAACCTTTGAGCCATCTGTCCAGCCCTACAGTTCTATACACCAATTTGTCTTTATCACAGTACTAACCCCAAAGGAGCCACAACTGCCTGGAGGCAGAAGATCAGCGGTAATGGTGCTTCCCTCATCCCACCACCATTTGAATTATGAACCATTTCTTAAAAAGATTTTGTTTTCTACTTACCATGGAGCACTTCTCCAGCACTTCCTTCTGGAACTTCAGAAATCTTTCCTGAACTTCAACTTCATTGAGAAAAAAGGCCAGGAAGTGAGTGAAGGGCTGCCTCCTTCTGAATGTGTCCAGGAGAACATCAACCCGAGTTCGGGCTGAAATTACGCCATTTCGATGCTGACCAGTGATCACTTCATGCAAAGAAAGAAAAAAAACATTACCAGGCTCAAGAACCCACAGTGCTTGACAGGCAGACGCCATCTGACACTATCATCTCTGGGGATCTGAAAGGGCTCCCTCCGATCACGGATATAGCAATGACGCCAAGGCGAAGAAAACTGCTAGTGAAGTCGATGTAAACAGAATACATTTGAAAATGGAGCATCTGAGGCTGCGGAGGGAGCCTGTCAGTCAAGTGTTTGCAGCACAAGCGTTAAGACCTGAGTTTGGGTGCCCAAAACCCAAATAACAATTGGGTGTGGGGAGCACATCTGTAATTCCAGTGCTTGGGAGGCAAGAGACAGAGGGGTCCTGGGGCTCACTGGCCAGATCAGCAAGTTTCAGGTTCAGTGAGAGACCCTATCTCTAAAATAAACAAATAATAAATGATTAAGATGGAGATCAACTGAGGAAGAAAAACCCTTGATATCAACCTCTGGCTTCCACATGCACAGATGCATGCATACCCACAGGAACACGTGAACACACGCTACACACATAGGAACATGTGCACGGCTCTCTCTCTCTCTCTCTCTTTCCCTCTCTCTAAGTATCTTAGCCAGGAATGGTAGCACATGCCTACAATCCAAGCACTTGGGAGATAGAGGCAGAAGAATGAGGAGTTCAAGGCCAGCCTCGGCTACACAGTGAATTTAAGGTCAGTCTGGGCCACATGACACCCTGTCTAAAAAGAGAGGGGTTGGGGTGACCAGTGAGATGCTCACTGTTGTCAAGGCTGACAACCTAAGTTCAACCCCAGAACCCACATACTGGAAGGAGAATCAACTCTGGCAGACTGTCCCCTGACCTCCATACATGTGTCATGGCACTATACGTACCCACACACGGACACAGACATAAACACACACACAATAAATAAATATGATTTAAAAAATTTGAAGGTTGGGTACATTTCTGAACATCTGTAATAAATAAATCAAAGAAATTAGTGCAAACATAAATTATGTCTGCCTTACCAATCTCTCCTCCATGTCCAGGTTTAGGAACGTTAATAGATGTTTTAGTCTCCACTTCAATTTTCTTCTTGGTATCCCCTCTCTTTCCAACTATGTGCCTAGAATATGAAAAAAAAAAAATACATGTTTAAGTTCCACAGGACCAGAGACACACCCTAATAGAAATATACTTCAGTGAAAGTGCAGTATTAGTAGAGAGAACTGCAAGTCACTGAGCTTTATATAGAACATGCTCTCTTCACTCCCAGGCAACTGATGCCATCACTGACTCAGTGTGGAAACAGAAGACCCACGGCAGCAGGCAGGGCACTGTCAGCAGTGGCTGAGAGCTCACATCTTATCCACAAACACGAGGCAGAGTGTAAGTAAGACTGCGCCTGGTGTGAGCTTTTGAAACTTCAAAGCCCAGCCGAAGTGGCACACCTCCTCAAACAAGGCCACACCTCCCAATCCTTCCTAAACAGTCTACCCACTGGGAACCAAACACTCAAATATATGAGCCTATGGGGACCATTCTCATTCAAAACACCACAAAGGGTAAAGAGCTTTGAAAAGAGATCAGGAGTTACCATTCAGATAGTCTGTAGAGCACAAAAAGAACCATGCTTCCTGAGATCTGGAATCAGCATTCAGGAGGCTGAGGCAGGAAGACCACTAGTTCAAGACTAGCCTGGGATACACAGAGAGAGAGAGAGAGAGAGAGAGAGAGAGAGAGAGAGAGAGAGAGAGAGAGAGAGAGGAGAAGAAGAAGAAGAAGAAGAAGAAGAAGAAGAAGAAGAAGAAGAAGAAGAAGAAGAAAAGAGGAGAAACAGGAAGTAAACATGTGACCCTAAATTAAGTACAGCACATACTCATGTTTTAAGAGATTTCACCACAAATATATAATATTGTTATTGTCATACATATTATATACTGTAAGTTTTTGTTCATGTACAGGTTTGAATACTAACAATCTGATAACTCACAGCAACCAGAGTGGAGACAACTTTCAACCTCCCCCTGCAAATGGGACTAACCCATGACACCTCCTCCCAGCCCCTCCCAGCCATCATCTACCCCATTTCAGCCATTTACTGCTGACTGGTTTAGAGTCTTCGCCTGGGCCTCTAGTATAAATAATCCTGACAAGCCAAGGTTATCTTCCAGAACCCACAGTATTGGAAGTGCTAACATGAATGAGACTACTGGATCCCAGGAGAGGAGTTTCAGAGTCTATAAAGCACTATCACAGGATGATAAAGTTAACGGAAAGACCTCCCTGTCATCAACATTATTTCACCTTCTACGATTTCAATTACACACCCAATACCACAGGTAACTATGTCTAAAACTATTCTTTTAGAGAAGTGTTTGGAAACTGAACCTGAGACCTCATACATACTTTACTGTTTGAGCTAGCTCCCAGCCCTTAGTCAATTGTCTTTACATGGAATAATAAAGCCTAATCATTTCCACTAAGATCTGCTGTAATAGGTCAGTTTTTTTCAACAATGAGATGTTCAGCTGGGGATACAGCTCAGTGGTAGAGCACTTATCCGGCAATGTGCTAAGATGCCCTGGGTTTCATCCCAAGCACTGCAAAACCTTGACCCAAATAAGCCCATAGAAATGAAATAAGAAATCTTATGGCGTACATGTGGTGCACACCTGTAGTCTCAGCAGCTGGGAGACTGAAGCAGGCAGACTGCAGGTTCCAGGTCAGCCTGGGCTATATGGAGCCCCTATTAGAAGGGGAGGGGGAAGAAGAAAGGAAAGAAAGAAAAGGGTGGGGGGCAGGGGGAATCTTCTCAGCGAATGTTACCTACTAATTAGGACTTAGTAGGACCAACATCTGATCTAATATCTGTGTGTTCACCAGGAACACAAGAACTTAAGAGTCTACAGAAGTCAAAAGGCCATCATGAGAACTAGACATTAAGGACTGCTCACACACCTCAGCAGTAGGACCCATGTACACTGAGACATGTTACACTCATTTTGTTTTTCAGGAAGCTGAGTCATGTCGTTCTGAAATCATGTCTCCTAGGAGAAAATGTCATCAGAGCCTAGGAAGAAAGTGAGTGAGCTGTCAGGGTTGGCTTTGCTTTCCCATTTGGCTACATTCAAGGAGAATTTTATCCACAGTGGGTATTTCAGAATGTTCTCAAGGATGAAACTATTAGAGTTCAAATGCATTTGATTCCATATTTGTAGCTCTCCTCCGAGTGGACCTAACTGATCCAGTATAACAGAAAAACAGCAATGGCTGATGGACTTTTTAGACCAGCTGATCTTTGGACCAGGCAAGTCCAAAAGAAGCCAGTTAGCTTCTGACAGCATTCTATTAGTGGTTAATGTGGGGGAGACCATGAGAAAGCATGCACACAAGCACATGCTGAAGGGACCAGAAGTTCATAAGCGATTCACAACAGTGATCCTCGAAAAAGCACAACAGTCTCGGTAAGGCACTAAGGATTAATGGAACAGACAAGTCCCCGCCTCCAAGAGGCTTCCCATCTGCAGAGGGGGCAGCAGGCAACACACCAATACACACAAACACAGACTATGCTAAATGCTACAAACCACAGGCAGAGGTATCATAAAAACACACAGTAGGATTATCAGTGATTGGCAGGGATGGCTGGGGTCAAATCAAGCTTCTCTAGGAAGGAGAGTAGAACCTTGTAAGAAAGAGGAAAGAGTGAGGCAAAAGGCACACCACACACATGAACTCAGAGGCTGGAAAAAACACAGCACGTATGAGGAACTGAAAATACCAGTTGGGAGTTCTAACCTTAAACACAAGGCAGAGAGAGACCTAAAGCAAAGAGAAAATAAAAGCAGAATCAGCTAGGGCATAGTCACGATTTTGGCCATGACTTTAACGACCCAGAACTCCATCTCTAGTGGAAAACCACCGATGAGAGTTTTTGAATGTATTATTAGTGTGAATGTGTGTACACCTAAGTGCATCTGTGGGCTCGCCCACCACAGCACATTACATGGAGGTCACAGAAAAGCTCCGTGAAGTCAGTTCCCACCTTCCACCTCTACAAAGGTTCCGGGATGAAACTCGGGTAGCCAGGCCTGCGTGGTAAGTGCCTTTACCTGCTGAGCCATCTCACAACCCCACAGAGGGCTTTTCAGCAGAAGCGGTAAAAGAATCAGATTTCCCTTTTAAAAAGATCATTCCAAGCCTGTGGAGGTGATGCACATCTGTAACCTCAGGAAATGGAAGGCTGAGGCAGGAGGATCAAGAGTTCCATGTCAGCCTTAACTATAAAGCAAGACCAAAAAAAAAAGAAAGAAAGCTGGAGAGATGGCTCAGTGGTTAAAAGCACTGGCTGCTCTTCCAGAGGACCTGGCTTAGATTTCTAGCACTCATAGGGAGGCTAGTAATTCCAGGTCCAAGGAATGCCTGGACCTCTTCTGGCCTCCACAACACTGCATACACATGGTGTACAGACATAGAGTTAAGACAACTCACATTAAAAACAAATCTCAAAAACATTGTTTCTAAATCATACCACGTTCAATGTGAAGGACCAAGAATAAAGCAGGAGCCGGGCAGTGGTGGCACACACCTTTAATCCCAGCACTCGGGAGGCAGAGGCAGGTGGATCTCTGTGAGTTCGAGGCCAGCCTGGGCTACAGAGTGAGTTCCAGGAAAGGCGCAAAGCTACACAGAGAAACCCTGTCTCGGAAAAAAAAAAAAAAAAAAAAGAAGAGAGCAGGAAAGACTATTGGAGCTATTTTAAGAAATCCACAGAGAGACTGAAGAGATGCTCAGTGATTAAGAGCACTTGCTGTTCTAGCAGAGGACCTGGGTTCAGTTGTCAGTATCCACATCACATGGCTCACAACTACCTGTTACCTCCAGTTCCAGAGGAGTCAACAAACTCCTCTATCCTCCTGAGGAACCACACACAGGTAGTGTACATACTTACATAATGTAAATATTCACACAGACATATTAGATAAATATTTTTTTTAAAAAAAGACATCCGCCGGGCGGTGGTGGTGGTGCACGCCTTTAATCCCAGCACTCGGGAGGCAGAGCCAGACGGATCTCTGTGAGTTCGAGGCCAGCCTGGGCTACCAAGTGAGTCCCAGGAAAGGCGCAAAGCTACACAGAGAAACCCTGTCTCGAAAAACCAAAAAAAAAAAAAAAAAAAAGACATCCATAGGAAAAAAGAGGTAGCAGTGAAAATAAGGGTAAATGGTAGCTCCAAAGGACATTTAAAAGTGAAAGTCAACAGGATGCGGCCATAAACACAGGATGATTACATTAATCTGTAATCAGTCCTGTGACATTTCAGGACTCAAAATACTGAACTCCTTTGTCCTCAGTAATCAAGCATCACAGGAAGTGTAGAAGACTGAAGAGCTGGCTTCCTGCTGAGTTTCCTGGAAGTACTGTCCCTGGAAGCTGATGGGGAACTCACTCACTTGTAGAGCACGCTCGGGGCACTGACGGTGGCCCGGAATCCTTGAGGGGTCTGCTCCACCTCGTAGGCGTCACAGGGCTCATCAGAATACTCCATGGAGTCTGCAAAGAAACCACAGCATCTCTGAATGAGGCTGCTCCGTGGAAACAGCCTCCTCCCAGACGTCAATCACTCTCAGGGCTTAAGAAGGCAGGAACGTGTGCAAAGAACAGCTGCTTTAGTGTATCCCCCCCCCCCCCCCCCCCCCCCCCCCCCCCCCCCCCCCCCCCCGAGTCTGCTCAGAAGAAATAGAGTGAAAAGAACATGGTGGTTATTTTAAATCCTTCAGTCTCAGAACCTTGGGAAAGCAGTATTTAGTTGTTTCTCTTAGAAAGTTAAGATGCTGAAACAACATGTTTTACTATTCTTCTACTGAGATGAAGTTCACACAATATGAACTCACCCTTTCAAAGTCTAGAAGTTAGGACTTTTTAAGTGTTAGGGCACAGAATTACTTGAATGAAGTATTAATAAATAAGGAAGATACTGGGAGGGTTTCTTCCTTAAACCTCAACATAGAGAAAAGAGAGGCCAGGCAGAGTGACACGTGCCGGGAGGAGGTCCAACATTTAAGAGGCTGAGGCAGGAAGAGTACTAGCCTGAGCTACATAGTAAGGAGAGAGACACACACAAAGAATCAGAATGAAAAATAGGAGCTCAAGGCTCAAGGCTGACAGCACACAGTAAGAAGGATCACAGGGGAAAGTGACCCCCGAAGCTAAGGTCCAGTGGAAACCCTTAGGAACCAAAAAGGGAAAGTCGCAAAGAACCTAAGAGGCCCTGTTTATGCACTAACCCTAACCACATGGTCATTACCCTGAAAGTATTTATGACCCATCTCAACTACTGATTTTATTTACAAAAGTACCATATGTAAAATAAAGTTAGGTGTGTCTCTGGAACTGTCAATGCATGACTACAAAGAAGAAAGAAAAATAACATAATAACAACAGTTAACATTATCTGACACTGAACTAAATCCTTCACATGTTTATTTCAATAACTCATATTCTTAGCCAGGCATGGTGGTGCACACCTTTAATCCCAGCACTCAGAAGGCAGAGGCAGGAAGATCTCTATTAGTTCAAGGCCAGCCTGGTCTACACAATGAGTTCCAAGACAACCAGAGCTACATAACAGGGAGACTCTGTCTCAAAAAACAAAAAAATGCTGGGCCCATGGTAGTGCATACCTTTAATCTCAGCACTCAGGAGGAAGAGGCAGGTGGATCTCAGAGTCGATAGAGTGAGTTCCAGGACAGTCAGGGATACACAGAGAAGCCCTGTCTCAAAATAAATAAATTAATAATAATAATAATAATAATAATAATAATAATAATAATAATAATAATTTATATTCTTTTACAATTTCACAGGTAAAGGGGCTTAATTTTGGCACAGAATATTAAAAGTTAATAATAATAACTAACTGCAATTACTTCACATGGGGGCTTTGCAGTTAGGAGCCCTTAATGCTCTTGCAGTTGACCTGAGTTCCATTTCCAGCACCCACACTGGACAGCTCACAATCACCTGTAACTCCAGCTCCAGGAGATCTAACACCCTCTTCAGGCTTCTTTGGGTACCCATGATCATATCTATACACACACACACACATACACACACACACACACACACACACACACACACATCTTTAAAAATAATAATGAATAAAATTACTCCTCATGGCATTTAAGCCTCTGTACAGAGGAAATCTATCTCGACACAGGAAATGCAACCAAGAATGCCTCATCTGAGATTAGCTTTGCCAGGAGCCCTGAACAGCAATAAAACAAAGACTTGCCCCTACGGTACAAAGAACATTTTACTTCTCACCTGACCTAAGAGCAACTAGGATTACCTCGATAGTAAGCCTCATCTTCTTCATGCTGATAATTTTTTTCCTGGATGGGATTCTTCCTATAATTCCGTCCATCGAATGTTATAATCTGTGGGCGCAGAACATCCATGACACTGTCTCCAACTGATAGTCTAGTAGAGTCCTGAAAAATAAATCGTCCTTTTACCATTTTTTTTTAGAATTAGAAATGAAAGGTTAGGTCAGTAAGATGGCTGAACAGGTAATGGCACTGGTTCCCAAGGCTAATGACCTGCGTGGTGGAAGGTGAAAACTGACTCCTACAGTTGCCACACATGCAGACAAAATAAATAATGTAATTAAAAATAAATAAATAAAAACCTCCATTAGATGGACCATTATGTAGGCCCGAATGGACGTAACTGGGCAGTAGTTCATAGCACATCCTAAGTAAAAATTGTGTCACTTTCCGCTGGCCGGCCACTGTGTGTAAGCTCTCAGAAGGCAAGGGCTGCATTCTCCACCATCCTATTACACCTCCTGAATCACTCCAGACAGCCATTTGTAATCTAGGTATCAGCCCTCCCGTAAGAGGCATTGGTAGTATACAGCCTGCCAGTGACTATAGGTATCTTTAACCGAAGCGGATGCAGTCTTGATATTTATTTAACCATGTGCAAAGTGCTTCATTCTTTCTTTTCAATATAATAATACAATGAGGAATCATTCATACAATACCCATCGAAGAGCGCTAAGTACTTTTAAAACTGCTAGAAATACACACCTAAGCAATCAGACCTAATTTCCCTATCAAAGTACAACTACAATTCTCAGACCAACACATTGGTGAGAAGGAACAGTTTCTGGAGATCACTGCCCAACAAACTGCATCACTTACTGAGAAAAGTGAAGCTCCTAGTCACCACTTGAATCAACAGTTAGGAAACAAAGTTCAACCCACGTTCCCATCACAGGTGGCTGAGTCTTCAAGCCCATGTACTTAAAGGGGCCAAAGAAGGCATAGCAATCCCTTCCAGATAAATGCTTGGTCCAACCCTCTACCCGGTCACTAACCGGTAGCCGCTCGCACAGAACCAAGGTGAGGGTTTGTGTTTTTGAGAACACAGAAAGTCAACGTGGACGAGAGGATGCAATTATCAACAGTCTTGGGACACCCTGGTGTGCTATTCTTTAGCATCCCCTCCCCACTTCAAAAAACAAGCTCTGTACAAAAAGTCGTCTTTATACGGTATGAACCCTGAGCGGGAGGCTGCCTGTGATGCACACTCATCTACCTTTCCTGCGCAGCTCCAGGCAGAGAGGCTGCGCAGAAGGGCGGAAACCCACTAGCCCTGTGTCATGGGGGTTTGGCGAGGGACAGGTATCTATGTCTTCGTGTAATTATCGTTTCGTGGGAGAAGCTGAAGTCCTGAATCGAAGAAGTAAACAAAGAACCCCTAAACCAGAGGCAGGGGCCAGAAAACACCGCGTGGCCGCAAGATAACCAGGATCACGCGGAAGATGACGGGGTGGGAGCGACCCGGAAGTGTTCCCCGAAAGCTCGCTCTCGCCCAGCCCCGGCCACGCCCTCGCTGCGCGTGCGCGGTAGCACCGCCCCTAGGATTTCCCCCCCCCCCCCCCCACAGCCACAGGGGCGGGCGCACGCCCGCCATAAAATTCCCCACCGCGCCCCGCGGGCACGCGCACGCCGCTGTCTACGTCGTCGTAGCGAACGAAGCCGCACGGCTCGGTCCAGGGGGCGGGGCGGCCAGGCAAAGTGCACAAAGCGACTCGCGTAAGTAGCCAAGGCTTCCAGAAGCGTCGGTGGTTCTGGACCCTACCTGCCAGGACTAACAGGGAGAGGGTGGGAAGAGACCCCGGAGGCTCACCCGCGCCGGGCGTGTGCAAAGGCAAGGTCCTCGGACTGAGCATGCGGGCCGAGGGTTGGCGCCTGCGCAGTGGGCCGGCCGCGAGCCTCTGCTTCCTCCCGAAGTGCCGGGTCGGGTGCGAGCCTCGGGTGGAGTTAGCGTAGCCAGGGCTGGAGTTGCTGACTCCTCCCCGACCGACCGGGCCCGGGTCTCCGTTCCACCCATAGAGCTGCTACCTCTCTGTTTGATTCGGATGGTGACCCGTATGTTTAGGCGGAACACCCTGGAATGATTTGTTGGTAGAACCCAACGGTTGTCATAATTAGCCTTCGTACTGGATCCGAAGCGACTTAAGCGTCTGGCTTTTCCGAGACTTAATTTTTAAGAAGGATCTCTTGTTTTGTTTGTTGTTTGTGAGGAAATAAGCAGAAAGTAATTTGATGAGTGCGAGGTCATCTCTGTCGTACACAAAGTAAGTATTTAACCAAGACACACATACCATTACTTTTCCTATGAGCGTCTCTGCTGTCAGCAACCCCAGTTTCTTTCTTAGAGCCAAGTTCCAGGATACTCAATCATCAGCATGCAGCCAAGTTTTACTGAGTGCCTCCTACACGGGCCTAGCAGCCTCCTGGTAGGCAGTTATATACTCCACACAGTGAGGAAAAAAAACCAGAACGGACTGACCTTCATGACTCCAACCCTCTCTGTCCCCTGCAGTCTCTACTGAGCTGCCAGTTCTTGTTCTATTATTTATAAATCATTCACCCGGGAAACATTGTGATAAGGGTTTTTACGATGCCTCAAGGATACAAAGGTGATTTGTGTTCTGCTTTCTAACTCGACAGGATTCTTCTCACTGCCTCACACAAATGCTCTACCACTGAACTATGTATCTCCAGACCCAAGACCACCGGCTAGTTTGGTTTTTTTTGGGGGGGGGTTGTTTGTTTGTTTTTTGTTTTTGTTTTTTTGGTTTTTGGTTTTTCGAGACAGGGTTTCTCTGTGTAGCTTTGCCCCTTTCCTGGAACTCACTCGGTAGCCCAGGCTGGCCTCGAACTCACAGAGATCCGCCTGGCTCTGCCTCCCGAGTGCTGGGATTAAAGGCGTGCGCCACCACCGCCCAGCTCAGGCTAGAGTTTTACGTGTGTGTCCCCATGCATGTGGAGGCTTGAAGCTGATGTCCGATATCTTCCTCCATAGCTTTCATAGATAGCTTCCCTGAACCCAGAATGTGACCATTCCCGCTAACCTAGCTAATCATCTTGCTATTGGGAATGGCTTGTCTTTAACTCCCAAGTGCTGGGAAGACAGGCAGCTACTGCACCTTCGCTGCTTTTAAGTGAGTTCGAGGGGTCCCTGACTCCTCCAGTGCAAGCACGTTATCCATTGAGCTGTCTTCCCAGCCCCGCTGCAGAGTTCTTAATAAGATGATACACCAAGTGAGCCTGCTGACTGAGGGTGTAGCCCAGTGGTAGAATTCGTGAAGTACATGTCAGATAATGTCAGCAGACCGAGACCCTTCCCTTCCAGGAGTTTTCACATAGCTATGTCAAAGAGAATTGGAACTTTTCCTAGGAGTACATGTGGTAGAACTTAATAGGTATGAGAAACTGGGCTCTGCATAGGGAAGACTGGGTGTGAGAGTGCATAGCTGTAATTCGGACACTTAGTAGGCCCACCCCGCAGTATCTGGAATTGAAGAACAGTCTGGGCTACAAAGCTAGAGTCTTAAAGGGCGGGGCGGGGCGGAGGGGGGGGGGGCGGGGGGCGGGGCGGTGCCAGTGTCTATTACTGATTTGTGTTTTGTTTCTAGTTGCTTTGCCTGTATCAATTTAATCTTCATGCCACTTCTATAAGGCCGTCACTATTATTGATTGCATTTTACAGGTGAGGTGTAAGGAAAAGTCAACTGATTTGTCCAGTCACACAGCAAATAGCAAAGCCAGGATAAAGACCTAGGCAGGCAGCTGTTTATAGTCAGCTCTTGTGTGTGTGTGTGTGTGTGTGTGTGTGTGTGTGTGACTGAGAAAGACAGAGACAGAGAGAGACAGAGAGAGACCAAGGAGACCAGAAGAGGGCAGCAGAGGTAGATGTGAGCCACTAAACTTGGGTACTGGGAACCTAACTCCAGTCCTTTGCAAGAGCAGCAAGCACCCTTAACCTCTGAGCCAACTCTTCAAACCCTGTGGTCAGACTTCAATTGCTGTGCTAGCTCACCCTCACGCACATCAGCACATCAACAAGCCATTGCTTCAAAAATTAGACGACCTTTGGGAAGTCAGTGGTTCCTGTGAACTGTGTAAGCATTCTATGAACACAAAGGAGTGGCTACTTAGAGTTACACTAATCACTTAGTTAATCCCTGTGCTCAGCAATTACAACCTAGGGTTTGTTGTTAGCTTAACTCCTGTTTACCCCTTAAAGATGGCATTCAAAACTCGAGACTGAAGGTGTAGCTCAGAGTGGAACATGCACAGGGTCCTGGCTTCTGTCGCCAGCACCAGCAAGAGAAGAAATCACAAAAACCTTAAGCAAATCTTTAGAAGCAGACGTCTTGCAGATATGTCTCTGCAGACAATGGCTTATTTAAAGTTAACCTTGTGCTGATTTCGAGCTCTGTTTTTCCACCCTGACTGTTTTGTGTATGGAGCTATACTAGTTCTGAGAATTGGGAAGAAAATAGGATGAAAGGAAGTTCCTTTGATGACCTTCAGTTTTGGAGTCACTGTGGCTAGCCTTTGAAGCTGGCTGGCCGCCGCCTGGGTGCTCTATTGAGCAGCTGATCTCAAAATACAAAATAGAAAACATCAGCAACTAAATAGAACATTATCAGGGTGTGGAAGTTGAAAAGATCAGAGTTTAAAATCCTAGTTGAGAAAAATAAGCAGTTCTCAGGGGGTTCTGCTCTGAACTGGGGGGAAGTCAAGCCAGAGCTGCTCTCTGGGGAAGTGGCTGAGTGGTCTGTATGCTTCATTTGAATCCCACCAGGGATCTGGTTAGAGATTTGGACCTGGTCCATCAATACTTGTCTCTTTTAAGGAACACTAAAAACTTTACCAGGCTATATTTTGAGACAGTGTGGTGCAAAGGAGCAATTACAATTCCACATGAAAGGTTGCTTTCCCTGATGGGTACAAGTACAATTCAGAAAGTAACCTAAGAGCAAAATTAAGGGTGTCATTAATGAGCTGGGCGTTGTGGCCACGCCTTTGACACCTGCACTGAGAAGCAGGGGCAACGCTGTGGGTTTGAGGCCAGTCTAGACTACATAGCGAGTTCCAGGACAGCCAGGGCTACATGGTGAGAGGCTGTTTCAAATTTAAAAAAAAAAAAAGCCAGGCGGTGGTGGTGCACACCTTTAATCCCATCACTCGGGAGACAGAGGCAGGCATTTCTCTGTGAGTTCAAGGCCAGCCTGGTCTACAGAGTGAATTCCAGGACAGCCAGAACTGTCTCAACTGAACAGAAACTCTGTCTCAAAAAAACCAAAAAAAAGGGGGGGGGGCATTAAAAAAATCATTAATGCGTTTGCACATATAATAGTCTAATGATAACAATAGCCTTACAATTCCACTGTTCCATGTCAGTGTTCATTAGTGCAACCTATGGATGGCCATATGGTGGAACTAGAAACCAAGTTCTGCTTCTCTGACAACCACATGTCACTGCCATAGAGTCAGGAAACAGCAGCCACCATCTCAGACGTCGTCCTTTACCATTTTCCCTAGAAGGAAACCAGATGCTCTGGACATTTACATAGCGTTCATTAGTATTTTCCTGTTTTAAAAAGACGAGAGTGTCAACTTTGTAAGTATTGTCGATTGAAACTAGTGCCTCAAATCCTGGAAGCTTGTGCTCCACTCCCGAGCTAGACCCGAGCCTTCAACTTTTTATAGCAAGTATGTCAGAACTAGGGTTGGGGGCAGATGAGTGAAAAGTATCCAGCACAATTCTCTCTGATCATAACAGAGGGGAGCTGGGGTTGTTTGTTTGGTTGTTTGGTTGGTTGGTTGGTTGGTTTTGGTTTTTCGAGACAGGGTTTCTCTGTGTAGTTTTGGTGCCTGTCCTGGGTCTCACTCTGTAGACCAGGCTGGCCTCGAACTCACAGAGATCCGCCTGCCTCTGCCTCCTGAGTGCTGGGATTAAAGGCATGTGCCACCACTGCCCGGCAATCGGGGGGAGCTCTTTTTGTTGGGGGTTTTTGTTTGTTTGTTCAGTTTGGTTTTTCTTGCTTGTTTGTTTGTTGGGGTGTTTTGGGTTTAGTTTGTTTTTTTGAGGGACCCCATGAATCTCAGATTGGCCTTGAACTTGCTATAGAATCAAAGAGGAACATGAACTTCTGCTTCTACCTCTGCCTCCCAGGTGCTAGAATTCTACTTCTTTGCCACCACACGTTGTTTCTATGGTGCTGGGAACTGAGCCCAGGGCTTCTGCATGCTAGGCAAGCACTCCACTAACTGAACAAGCTCCCTGGCCCTGGAAAATTCGTTTTACCATTTTTAAGCCGGACGTGGTGGCACATGGCTGTAATCCCAGCACTTGGGAGGCTGACACAGTGGCATTGCTGTGAGTTTCATTCAGGCCAGGCCAAGCTACATAGTAAGTTCCAGGCCAGCAAATTAAGACCTTCTCTATAAATAAATAAATAGCCTTTTTATAAAAAATGTTAAAACCTATGTAATGTAAAAATTAGCCATTGTCTGTTGTTATTGAAACAGGCTCCTGGCTATGTAGTCTGGGGTGCACAATCCCCTGCCTCAGCCTCCTGAGAAACTGCAACATTCCATACCAGTGCACACCATTACTACCACGTAAAGTCATTTGTTCACTTAAATACTAGCTACATGGTTTTATTGAAATTTTATTTAGCATTTAAAAGTGAACATACAGCTCTTCAGTTACATTAATAGCCACAACATGAGTCTCATGGCTACTGTATTGGGCAGAACTAGATTATCAGAACATTTCCATGGTGACAGAAAGTTCTAGATGGTATAAATATGGTAGTAACCATTTTAAAATTATACACTGGCCAGGCAGCGATGGCGCATCCCTTTTAATCCCAGCACTTGGGAAGCAGAGGCAGGTGGATTTCTTTGAGTTTAAGGCCAGTCTGGTCTACAGACCTAGTTCTGGGACAGCCAAGGCTATACAAAGAAACCCTGTCTCAAAAAACAAAACAACAACAACAAAAATGTATGTGTGTGTTTAATATAATTTCATATGCTTCTGAGGCTATGTTCTTGTTCTGAAGTTTTGTGGGAAGTCATGAACTCAGTACTAGGATCTGGGTTTTCAGATATGGCACAGGATTAAGGCCACAGATGCTCAATTCGTAAAGATCCACGGTTTCTGAGATCAGTTCCTGAATTACTTTGTTCCAGTTTTTGGTCGCCATCAAGTGTTAGATTTAGGCATTACATTTACTTGAAAAGGTTAACAATTTCTTAATGAATGTGCCAATATGTATTTCCTAACCCATTTCCCTTTCTTGGGAACAGAACACAATGTTATTCTGGACTCTTATTTGGAAAACTTGATAAGTGAACTTCTTGGTATGGTGAGGATGTACCCAAGACAAACTGTCCTGTGGAGCAGAAGTATTTATCCTTGGGTCCATTTCTGGCTTGGCACTGACATATCACTCTTCATAATCTATAAATCATCTGCACTCAGTCCCACACTCAGTGGTACAATTTGTTAATGGGAGAAAATAGGACTTTTTTTTTTTTTTAATCTTCTTAGAGGTGGGTATCTTTTTTCTTTTCTTTTTCTCTCTTTCTTTCTTTTTTGACAAGGTGTCTCCGTGTAGCCCTGGCTATCCTGGAACAAACTCACTCTCTAGGCCAAATTGGCCTCAAACTCAGAGATATCCATCTGTCTCTGCCTCCTGAGTGCTGGGATCAAAGGCATGCACCACCACACCCAGCTTGGCAAGCTTTTTTTTCCGAGACAAGGTTTCTCTGTGTAGTTTTGGTGCCTGTCCTGGAGCTCACTCTGTAACCCAGGCTGGCCTCGAACTCACAGAGATCTGCCTGCCTCTGCCTCCTGAGTTCTGGGATCAAAGGCGTGCACCACCACGCCCAGCTTGGCAAGCTATTATTAAACACGTTTTTACTTCAAAACCTGAGTGACATCATAAAGAACTGTATACAGATGGAGGGTGGGGAAAGCTGGCCCTAGGCTAGAATGAAGTATTGTCAACCTGGCTTTTATAAACCGTCCGATTGCTGTGTTTCTTCCTATAGTGAAGAGAGACTTCTGCTGGAGGGAATGGCTGCCTCCTCGTCCTCATCTTCAGCCGGTGGGGTCAGTGGCAGTTCCGTCACCGGATCTGGCTTCAGTGTTTCAGACCTGGCCCCGCCACGGAAAGCTCTGTTCACCTACCCCAAAGGAGCTGGAGAGATGTTAGAAGGTGAGCTCATGCTGGGTTTGTGCCTGTGCAATGTAAAGCAGCTCAGCTGGAGGGCCGCCTAGACTCCTTGAAGCCAGAGCCCTCAAGTGACCTGACCAGGGTTGGCACTGGAGCCAGGACCCCTCTCGATGTCCGACTCTAGGTTGCCTTATGGCACCTGTTTGATGTATTGTCTTTTCAGTGAGTGTCTACAGATGGATTAACCCCACCAGACAGGCCTGAAGGGGAAATCAAAGGGAAGTATCTACCTCTGTGAAGGTGACTCTTGTAGCCCACTGCAGGACATTGCTGTGTGACTGACTGCGTGGTTTGGATGGCACTGGAGACAGATTCGCAGCCACCGTCTTATCACACACTGGCAGACTGACTGGCCAGAAATAGATCACAGGCAGCGCTCATGAAACGGCGCTGGCCACTGACTGGAAGGGTCAGGTTCACGTTGAGCATAAAACTCACACGAGACACTAGCTTAAAATGCACATGTCTCGCTTGGCAGGTGAATCTCTGAATTCTAGGACAGCCTTGTCTACATAGTGAATTCCAGGCCAACCAGGGCTGTACAATGAGACCCTTTTTCTTTTCAAAAAAGAAACAAAACGATAAAATGCACGTGTCTGGGCTCACCCTAGAGATCCTGAATTTTAACTAAGACAGGAATCTTTGTTTTTTGACCAGTGTCCAGGGCCTTCTCATGAGGGAGTCTTCTCATACTTTAAAAACATTGGCATATGCTTTTAAATGTTTTGAGCCGTTAAGGGCTCAGAATCACTTGAGTCAAGCAAGTTTGTGTTGAATTATAAAATGGTCTTCTTTTTATTTAAATCTTGCATATTTGCATGGATATATTTTAAATTAATTAGGAGACATCTCTGAGAAAGGCACCAGCTATATTTGGGGCGGGCTTTTTGGAGTGATCGTTGTGCATTTATATGAGATACTTAAAAAATAACAGTGTCGGGTTAAACAATGCCAATGCCATAACTGGTTCTTTTTTTTCTTGTCATGAACCCAGTGGCCTCATGCTCGATAGGCAAGCACTCTGACCCAGCTGCATGCCTCGCAAGCCAGGACAGACAGAAGAATCTTTTGTGACAGAAAAACAGGCAGACTCTAGCACCATAAGGCGCTGGGGTAGCTTGCGTGTGATTGGTAGGGAAGCAGCAGGCCGTGTGTGGTCTGGAAGGTGGTGTATTGGGCATGTGCACGCACTTGTGCCCTTGCCTTTTTCTTGATACTCGCCACGTCTGACTGGACGTCGAGGCTTTGCCTCCATATGTGGCACTAAAAGTAAATCACGCCCTTAGCTCTGTGCAGCAGAGGTGTGGTTAAAGCATTTCCCACAGAACAGGTGACGAGTGGAAGGCACTTCAGTTGCTTGATGAGCTTTGCAGCGCAGAGGAGATCAGTGCTTAACTCTGCTTCAGGAAAAACGTCGTGGACGTTAGTCTTATGCTGGCCCTTTTCATTTACCCCATTGGGGCACTGATTGGGTCCTGTTGCAGAATGGATTTGTTACACTTACATGCTCAGTGCACAGTTGTGGCCGGCCCTCCTTCATCCCAGGCTCTCCCAGTCATCTTCAAAGCTGCTCACACTTAGACAGATGGAAACCAGCTGACTTTGCCAAATCAAGTATCTGACATACTATTTAACACCAAGAAGTAGAAAGGGCGCTGGGGAACCATCTCACCAGGTAAAAGGTGCCGCCACACCTGACCGCCTGAGTTTGATCCCTGGGTCTCATGGTGGAAGGAGGGGACTGACTTCTTCCTCTGACCACCCCAAACTTCTGATACATTAATAAATCAATGCCAAATTTTTAAAAATTGAAAAGACCACTGTTACCCCACAGTTTCTGCTGGGGTTTGGTTCTGCTTCACCTCCCCTCCAACATCACCTCCCTACCCCACCCATGCCTCATCTCCATGGATACTGAAGTCAGCAGGTGCTCAGGTCTCTTCCATGAACTGGTACGGTATTTACATAAGACGTGTGTATATCCTTCATGTAGCACTCCTAAAAGTGAGTTGACAGTGGTGTCAGATTTGGAGATGACACTGTTCTACAGTGAATATGTGTACATCAAACCACTTTTCTTCTTTGTTGTTGCCTTTGTTTAGTTTTGAGTCTCAGTAGTCCAGGCTGACCTCTAACTCCTTGAACTCCTTATCCTCCTATCTCCCAAATGCTGGGATTACAGGCACATATCACTATGTCTGGTTTATTCCGTGCTGGGGACCAAACCCAAGGCTCAGTGCCTGCTAGATAAACACCTTACCAACTGAGCCACGTGCCCAGCTCCTGTTCTTCTTACATAGTGAGATGAAAGAGGAAAGTGGAAACAACGTTGATGGATTCAGACAATCCCAACACTTGAGAGGCTGAGACAGGAGCATTGCTGTGAGTTCAGTGATAGCCTATGCTACATAGAGACTTCCATGCCAGCTTGGGCAAAGAGTGGGACTTTCTAAAAAGAAAGGAAGCACAGCAAGGTTGCTTTTGAGAGTAAAAAACGAAAGCATTTAGGAATCAAGGTTGGCTGTGTGTCAGAATCCCAACAGGTTCAACAGGTTCAATCCCAACAGAGCTGCCTGCTCCTAACTCTAGGATAGTAAATCCAAACAACCTGTAGTTAACCTCTCGAATTAAACTTTGGTGCATCTGCTGTCTGCTAACAGCAGCAGGAAGCAAGCTTTAACAGTCCTGCCCTCGGCTGAGGTTGTCCTCACCCAGTTATTAATGAGCAAAGGAGACGCTGCCTTCCAGCCCAGACATGGCTCTATTTTAGGGACCTCACAGGGCACTGATTTATAAATCTCCCAGGACTGTCTGATTTCCCACTGGGAAGTAGTACCTTCTCAATGAATTTCCGTAGCATTGAACTTAATGGAATTGGTGATGGTGTTAGATTTGGGCCATTTACTGAACTTCTTTCACCCGACGCACTGGTGCCCGCCCAGTGTGCTGATTACAATTGTAAATGGAAGACAGGTCACTCTGGCTGACTCCTCTGGAGACATCCCAGCCTGTAGATTGGTAGATGGCACATCTGAAAGACTGTGGCTTAAGAAGCAGGGGACTTTGTAGTCAATCCAAAGCTGCACGTGAGCAGGATACATCCTAGGCTGAAGCATGGGACAGTGGTACCCAGGCACCTTTTTTGGAAGATGAGCTTCTTTCTTTTTGCTTTGGAACTTATAACCAGGAAAGCTAGGCCAGTGTGATAACTTATGCACACTATCCTAGTGATTAAATGAGAGTGGGAGGTTGCACTTCCAGAAGCTTCCCCACTTGTCACTTGATCCTTACAGCCCATAATTCCCACCTGGGAGGCCAGCTCTATTCCTCTGTGCTTTGTTCTTTGCAAAGGAAACCGAGTGGTAGTGGAGCTCTTTCAGAAGGATGCCAGTGTGGTGTTTTCCTGCCAGAACATAGCACCCTGCATCTCTGGCGTCCAGTTCATGGCAGCTCCCTTCCCTGGTGGGATTTGGAGTCCTCCGTAGCTCTCTGCTCTTATCTAGAGACACTCCATGATGTCAGCAGCATGTCTCCATGTTTACGCCAGTCAGAGGCAAGGGGTGCAGCTGAGCAGCAGCCAGTACACCTGGCATGGCAGTGCTCTGGGTTTGACCCCCAGAACCTTGAGAAAGAAGGATGAAAAGCCAGGGGTAGGAAAGAGACTTGACCTTGCAGCCTGCTCATCCTAAGAGTAATTTCGGCCTCTCTCTCTCTCTCTCCCTGTGTCTCTCTCTGTCTGTCTCCCTCCCTCCCTCCCTCCCTCTCCCCCCCCCCCATTGAAGATAATATAATCTTAGCAGGAAGCCTGTTAGGTTGTTGTGTATTCACACCATTCAGATGAGTCAGCTGTACTTTTCCCTTTGATTACCAGGACTTGTAAAGAAAGGTTTGTGTGAAACTCAGCATGAGGCCAGACTGTGTTGGTAGCTCCCAGAATGACTGGTGTGTCACTCAATACCCGTGACACGCCAGTCCATGACTGATGAGTGAGTGCTGACATCTAGCAGTGCTAGTGTGAACTGCTACCTTGAGAGAGACAGCTGTACCCTCTTTCCATTTGCTTGAGAACCTTGTGGACGAAACACCTGCCCCGGGGGGTTGCTGCCCTTTAAAACATGGAATTTTCCTACGTGAATTGCATGACTTTGGGGATGTGTTTTGCCGGATCAGCCTTTGCACTGACGAGTGTCGGGTTTCACAATCATCCTCTGAGCATCATGACTGAGCTAGCCACCTTCTCGTTGGCAGTTTTGGCACCAGCTCAGTGCTCGGTTCTGGGCTTGCACCATCCCCTTAGCGTCATTCAAACTGCAGTGCTTGGTTGGTTCCGTTGGAAAATCAGGGTTACAACTGTGTATACAGAATGAAGTTCCCAGCAGGGCTTGTGATAGTCATGGTGGTACAACTTGATATAGTAAAAGTCAACAGCCCTTTTTCCCTTGTCTCTGTTTTTTTACAATAAGTGATTAGAGTTGTGTCCTAAGTCACACAAGTACCACATCGCTGGGTGCGTCAGCTGCCTTGTTGGCCTGCTGTTCAGGTCAGGAGGGGGGCGGTGGTGACCAGGACATCAGGCTAAGGTTTCTTGTGTTTGTTTTTGTAACACTATTTTTGAACTCTCAAGCGAGTAGTACTATTTTAATATTCTAGGTATAGAAGAGGTAGCTTTACAGAGCAGTGTTCTGAAGGACCCTTTGTTCACGCCAGAGACACTTAGAACTTAGGTGGAGAAGCAGGGACAGGATGGACAGGCCCTCTTCTCTTCTAGAAGCCGTTCAAACTAACGCCTGTGCCCTTTCCCTCGTAGATGGCTCTGAACGGTTCCTCTGTGAGTCGGTGTTTAGCTATCAAGTGGCTTCCACGCTTAAACAGGTGAAGCATGGTAAGTAAGCATGTGAGCTGCTGTCTCGACTGCGAGTGTACGTTCGTGGGAGCAAGGGGGCACAAGTTCTGAAAGGTCACTCTGCTGTGACTGAAGCTCCAAACTGTTCCAGTGACTTTCTGGATTGAAGAACATTCTAAGGTCTTGTCCAGATTAAACCCCCTTGAGGTTTGAAGCTTAAGTCCTGGGTTGAGTTCTCTCAGGAGCCGATGCTTCCTGCTCCTCTGTTGCCTTTACCCGCCCTCCATGAGACCCCTCCCTGCTTCCCTTCATGCACCACCTTCCTCTAGTGTCTGTGCAGCACCTTCGGCCCTGTCTGCACCCTGAACCCCTGATGCACACACGTGTCACCAAGTCTCCATTACGCATCAGGGAACAGTTTCCCCTCCAGACCGTTCCTCCACGGAGAAACCTATGGGAGCATCTGAATGAATCCCTGTGGCCCGGAGAGCAAGGACCTGTTGATACTGTGATTTGTTTTTAGGTGGTCTCGTGATGTAGCTTGGGCTGACTTCAAACTCTAGGTTCTCCTGCTTCAGCCTCCTGAGTGCTGGGATTATAGACATAGCACTAAGTCTAGCTCCCTTTTTTAGACTCTGGCACATACTGAGAGTGTGGTGATGGTAATTGTCCTTTTACAGTGCTAGGCTCAAACGAGGAGCGTGACACATGCTAGCCATGTGCCCCACCACTGAGGCTCACCCCAGCCTGTAACGACTGGGTTTTTGTTTTGTTTGTTGTTGGTAGTTTTTTCTTGTTTTGTTATTGTTGTTGGGTTTTTTGGTTTTTTGGGTTTTTTGTTTGTTTTTTTCAAGATAGGGTTTCTCTGTGTAGTTTTGGTACCTGTCCTGGATCTCACTCTGTAGACCAGGCTGGCCTCAAACTCACAGAGATCTGCCTAGCTCTGCCTCCTGAGTACTGGATTAAAGGCATGCGCCACCACCGCCTGGCTATTTTAGTTTTTTCCCAAGACAAGGTTCTCTGTGTATCCCTGGCTGTCCTGGAACTCACTCTGTAGACCAGGCTGACCTTGAACTTAGATCCGCCTGCCTCTGCCTCCCAAGTGCTAGGATTAAAGGCATTCCCTACCACTGCCCGGCTGTATTTTTTTTCCTTTATTATTTTTATTATTATTTTCTCACTCAATGACTCACTGTGTAGCCCAGGCTGGCCTGGAACTCTGAGCAATCCTCCTGCATCCACTTCCCAAGTGCTAGGCTTGAACTACCACTCCTTGCTACTTTTAATCCTCTCCCTCCCTCCCTCCTCTCCCCCATCTGTGTGTCTGTGTCCCTCTCTGTATCTGTTTCTCTGTCTCTTCCTCCTCCGTCTGTCTCTCTGTCTCTATATGTGTTTATGTCTGTCTGTCTTTGTCTTGCACATGTGTTCTGTTTTCTTTTTAAATGAAGACAAGGAAAGTTTATTAAGGAATTTTAGGCAACTCACTCCTGAGTCCCTCTTGCTGCAGGGAGCTACCTGGGTACAGCAATAAAACCCTGCTTGCAGGCAGGAACATTTCAATACATTTAAGCATAGATTTATAGAAAGACCCTTAGGAAAAGGAGATTACATACCCGTGTGGGTTGGGCTTCTCAAGAGAGTCCCCTGTATTTCTTAATAATTGTGTTTAATATTATTTTAATATAAAAAACTTTCCAAACTCAGAGAAAGAACATATTTGGTCACGGAGAGGGCTGAGCCTTAAGGGAGATAAAGGGATGATGGACCTTGATGGATTAACACAGCAGGAGAAAAAAGAAAAACACTCAGATAAGGGGCTGGGGAGATGGCTCGGCAATTAAGAGCACTGGCTGCTCTTCCAGAGGACCTGGGTTTCATTCCCAGGACCCACATGGTGGCTGGCAACCATTTGTATCTAGTTCCAAGCTGGCAACCATCTGTATCTAGTTCCAAGGGATTCGACACCCTCTCCTGCCTTCCCTAGACACACACACATGCATACACATAAATAATAACAAATAATGAGAAAGAGTGGATTCCGGAAGACACCCAGTGCCAACCTCTGACCGCCATGTGCCTGACACACATGCACATACATGTGTATGCACACACATAATGGGCAGTACACATGGAAGCTGATGCAGCTCAGTGGTGGGGCACTTGACCCTGGGTTCAGTCTCCTCCACTGCCAGCAAAGGGGAAAAGTAATGCAGATGAACAGAGAACGGGTGGAAACATTCTTCGTCTTCAGACCTACATAAAGTAAGACGCCATCATAAATCTCAAGTAGGAAAGCCCATCTACAAATTCAGTCTAGACCAGGGGTCATGTTGGTGACTGCTGACAGTCTCATGGGAAATGCCCTGTTGTGTTCTGTCCCTTCTGACTCTATGCAGATCAGCAAGTTGCCCGGATGGAAAAACTGGCTGGCTTGGTGGAAGAGCTGGAGGCTGATGAGTGGCGGTTTAAACCCATCGAGCAATTACTGGGGTTCACACCCTCTTCGGGTTGATGTCGCCTGCATGGTCGCCCCTAGGGCCCTGCCACCCAGAGACTGAGAGCTGCACTGGGAGCTGCACGTCGGTTCACATCTATACTGGGTCCCTCTGTTTCTGTCAATAGGCCACCTCTGCTCCTGTGAGATAGCGCCGAGTTTGTCACGTGCTTGGTTTCAAAGTATCGGGAGCACTCGGGAGGCAGAGGCAGGAGGCTCTCTGTGAGTTCGAGCCAGCCTGATCAATATAGACTTCCAGGACAGCCAGGGCTATGTAGAGAGACCCTGTCTCAAAAAAAAAAAAAAGTATTGGGGATCAGATTAAGGCGGTCCTCTCAGAGAACCAGGAGGGGTGGGATTTCAGAGAGTTATACGATTCTTCCAAGCCAGGTGGACACATGCCAGAATTGGCCAACTGAATGGGGAATATCCTGTCATTCATAGAGCGTCTGGAAGCTTTTCCCAGTCAAACCTAAGGTCAGGATCCACAGTTTCACAATCACAGCCCAAACATTTCTCTTCACAGATGAGTGTGATTTCAGCTCAGAGTCTGACCAGATGGGGAATTTTAAGGTGTTCTTTCCTCCTCTATTCTTAGACATTTAATATTATAGATTATTTTTCTCACCTCTTACGATATGCCAAATGGTGCTACCCCATCCCTGCACCCCAAAATTGCTTTTTGACTGTTGCAGCACTTGAAAAAATAAAGTGACCTAATTCCTTTTAGACCCAGAAATCCTTAGTCCAGCTCATTGGGGATATGAGAGCAATTCTGAAGCAAAGAAACCCTGAAAAGAGTTCCAAATTGCCACACTTGTCCTTTCCAAGTCTGAGGGGTTGGGGACAGAGAGAAGAGGTCAGATTCCTTTTCTTGTTAGACTCTCAGGTCATTCCTCTTCAGACTTGCTTTAACTGAAATGGAATTGCTTTACTTATGAGCTGTTGGCTCACAGTGTCTAAACTCACCGCCACCTCAGTAGGTGTGAAGGTGCGCTGTTGGTTGGTTCATCCATTTGTTTGGAACCTTGTCTCACTCTGTAACCAGGCTGGCCTCAAACTCATAGCAGTCCTCCTGCCTCAACCTCCTAAGTGTTAATATTACCCTGCTCTCTTCACTGGGTTTTTACACGGTGATAGAGAAAAACCTGGAAGACGAAGAGGTGGCCTTTGTGCCTCATCATGGGACCCCCACACTTCACAATTAGGCAGATTACTTATGTTACATACAAATTTGCCCTAGCCAGCATTTACCTTTCTGCTCATTAAGTAATAACTTACACCTGATCTGCTTAGAGTTGCTTAATTATAAATAAATTTAATCCTAGTAGCAATTGGCCTTAATCTCAGGAGTTCAAAATATTTCACACCCTATTCCTGACACGGAGGAGTTGACCTCGTCCACTTGGTAAAGCCTGAGCCTGGTGAAGATGGACTGCTCAGGGGCCCGTAGCTCAGGCAGAAGACGGTCTTGTAAATCCAAGTGGACAGAAACTGACTGACTGTGGAGCCCTCATTCTTGAGAAGTACCAGCCCGCAGCCCTTGGGTCAGATTTTCAGTGAGTCTAGAAGCTGTCACCCCTCATTTCGTATGTCAAACTGCAGCACTGACTGTCACCTTCCTTTACCCTCTGGTGTTGGGACTTAGGACAGAGTATTGACTTGTTTAAGTAGGGCATTTCTTAATGTGCCCTTGGACATTAAAGAGAAGCCAGGCTTGGTAGCACACACCTGTAATTTAGCACTTGGGAGGGAGTGGGAGGATTAGGATTTCATGGCCAGCCTGGGCTACATGAGCCCTTAGAGAGAAGCTAGAGGGGGTGGAGAATGGAAGAGGGAACAGAGAGATGAAGAGGGATTGAAGAGACCTGCGCTGAACCACGGGCTTCATTGGTGCTTGTGTGTGTGTGTGTGTGTGTGTGTGTGTGTGTGTGTGTGTGTGTATCACTCAGCTGCATCTCCAGCCCTGCTGACAAGACCCTGCCTACTTTTTGAAGGTGCACTGTCCCTGCACCTTTCTTGGCCATTGTCTCTCGCCCACAGTTCTTCCATGCTTTGGGCTAGAAATGGACTGTCTTGTCTGACTCATCTCCGATCTGTGCACTCACTGTGTGCCAGTAACTAGCAAGCCTTAGTTTACCCTTTCTCTGCATGCACACTGCGTAATATCCTCCAACACACACCATGAAGAGGAACTTGAAGCCTCGAGCAAGCCAGACAGCTAAGACCCAGTCTGCCAGACCCCAAAGCTGAGACTTAAAAACATCCCTACTGTAGTCCAGTGCCCCAGCCCTAAACCTTGTACAAAGAAAGTGTCTAGGGCTGGGAAGGTGCCTCAGTCAGGAAAGCGCCTCTCAAGCACAAGGGCCTGAGTGTGAGCTCCAGAAACCACATAAAAGCCAGCCATGGCCGCACACTCAGGACCCAGTGCCGGGGAGGGAGGCAGAACTGGGAGGATCCGTCCGGCTTGCTGTCAACCAGTCCACTTAATGGGGGAACTCCAGGCCAGTGAGAGGCTCTGTTTCAAAGGACATGGTTGGCATTCCTGAAGAGGATATAAATTTGTCCTCTAGCCCACACACATGGGTGTGCTCTCACAAACACATACATACACTTCAAGGAGAAAAGCCTAAGCGTATGTATCATTCCAATGAATTGTCACCTCCCTGCCTGCTACCTCCAGGGCTTTATAAGAAGGACTCAAGCACAGTGGAGGCTTTTTCCTTCTGGAGCTGGCAAGAATTAACTACGTGGTGGTCTGCATATCCCAAGGTAATAAAACATAAATGATAGGGGGCTGGAGAGATGGCTCAGAGGTTAAGAGCACTGACTGTTCTTCCAGAGGTCCTGAGTTCAATTCCCAGCAACTACATGGTGGCTCACAGCCATCTGTAATGAGATCTGGTGCCCTCTTCTGGCCTGAAGGGACACATGCAGACAGAATACTGTATAGATAATAAATAAATAAATCTTTAAAAAAAAATAAATGTTAAACCTAATTAGCTGCTTTCCCTTTAAGATACTCAAAAGTGAAATTTTATGATGGCTTTTTGAGACAGGGTCTTGTGTCCCCGGGTTAGTTTTGAACTCAGGTCTCCTGTAACCCGGTCCGGTCTTGGACTCCTGATTCTCTTCCACCTACCTCCAAAGTAGAATTGGCAGGTGTGTGCTACCTGGCCAACCAAAGCTTTCCATTTTTAACTTTGCATTTAATTACTTAGTATCAACACTAAAGTGCAGGGTTTAGGAACTAGAGAGATGGCTCTGTGGTGTAGAGCACGTGTTGCTCTTAAGGAGACCTGGGCTCCATTCCCAGCACCCACAATGTAGCTCACAACCATCTGTAACTCCCAATTCCAGGGGATCCAATGACTACCCTCTTCTGACCTCCTCAGGCATCAAGCACAAATGTGGTGTACATACATACATGCAGGTAAAACATTCATACACATACAATAAATCTTTGATAACAGTAGCAGTCGTAAAGTACAGGTTTTAGAATGGGGTTGTTAGCTGGATATATTGTCTTACCCAAACTGGCCCCAAACTTCTGGGATTAAGTGGTCTTCCTCTTTGAGCCTCCCAAGTAGCTGGTACTACAGATAATGTGCAGCCATTCCAGCTAGAGACCCAGAGTTCCCCATGATACATTTTAGTGTATTGGGCTTTTTTGTGTTTTGTTGTATGTGTGGTATATGTGTGGACACATGCACATGCAGGTAGTGTGTGTGTGTGTGTGTGTGTGTGAGAGTGAAGGGCAGAGGTTGAGAGCAGGAGCCGTCCTCAGTCGCCCTCCACCCTTTTTGAGACAGGATCTGTCTGCCCCCCCTGCACTGGGGTTACAGACACACTCTATGGACTTAGCTTTTTATGTGGGTCCAGAGGATCTCCGGGCCTCGTGCTTACATGGGAAACATTTTACTGACCAAGCTACCTACACACCTTTTTTTATTTTGTTTTTGACACAGGATCTCATGTAGCCAAGGCTGGCCTCAAATTTGCTATGTAGCTGAGGTCTTCTTCCTGCTCCTGAGTGTTGAGGTTACAGGCATGTGCCCCAAGTTTGACTTGAGGGTTCTATTTGTCACCGCCACCCCATACCTGATGCTCATATGGAGGTGTGTCGGTGCTCTGGGGCTGTGCACCAGCTTCTGATGTGAGGAGCTTTCTTTGCCTGTTCGTTCACAGCTGTGGCTTCTCTTTCCTCACATGGTTAGAAGCTCTGTTCCCAGTCAAGGGCTAGCCTGGAAGAAACTCTGGGCCTTAATGCTGAGAGCCTCTACCTCTGTAAAGGGAGGAGCTGGAACCAGGAGAGGGCCACCATGCTGAGGGAAGACAAAGACTTGCAGACCTGAGAGACACTGGGCTCAGGCAGAAACTGCCTGCCTCTCTCTGTTCTTCTGCCAAAGCACCTAATTTTGCCTAAATATCTTGACAGGCCTCTTTATAATTGCCTGAAGTGCTGAAGGAGAGATAAGTGTTAAGTGACAGATACTTGAGAGTTAAATCTTGGACTGCAGGCAGAGCATAGATAACACCAGATTTGTTCCTGTTTTCCCAGGGCGGAGTCTGAGAAGGAGGTGACTCCAGGGGGGGAAGAGGAGGAGGAGGCAGGGGAGCTGGAGCCTTGTGCTTGGCACACTGGCCTTCTGTGCCTCCCTTTATTAGTGTCTGGTGTGGGGGGGTGTCTTACAGCTAGAGAGCCCAGTTCACCTGGCTTACAAAAGAGGAAGATGCAGTCTGCTGTGAGCCAGGTCTTCAGTGCTTAGAACACTGCATGGCACATGAGGAGACATTAACAAGGCTGGGGATGTGGCTCGGTGGTAGAGCACTTCCTTAGCATGCACACAGCCCTGGGCTCCAAACACTGCAAAAGTAAATAGGTGTGTTTAATGGGTCTTCTTTGCTTTCAAGCGCTGGCATTTGTATTAGTTACTTTTCTTGACCCTGTGACCAAATACCTGGCAGAATTCACTGAAGTCAGGAGAGGTTTATTTTGGCTCACAGTATGGGTTAGGGGACGTCGACACAGGGAAGGCATGGGCTAGAGCTGGTCTAGGGCTTTGGAAGAACAGCTGCCAGTTACATGGCTCCAACCAGAAAGCTGAGAGCCAGACTGGAAGCCAAGTGAGCCTCTCATGCTCACAGCCTCTCCTGTAGCCTTAAATTTGCTAGCCAGGCCTCGTGTCCAAAAGGTTCTACAACCTTCCAAAACAGCACTACCAGCCAGGGACCACATGTTCAAACACAGGGGCCTGTGAGGGACATTTCACATCAAGACGGTGACAGGATTGAGCTTGGGGCCTCACCTTTGCTCAGCAAGTGCTCTCCACTAAGCTACATCCTGAGGCATTTCTCTAGTCTTTTTAAAAACTACTAGCAATTTCCAATGAGAACTCTACAGTGGAGTACTGTCTGAGGTAATCCAGAAACTCAGGGGCAGAGACAAGGCTACCCTAGAACTTAGCCCAGAGCACTTCTTCTCATCTGCCACACCGATGGATATAAACCGTGGAACAAATAGAAACTTCCAAGGCGGCCATGCGGCACATGATTCCATCCATTCGATGAGTGAAGGCCAGTGATGGTGGTGGCTTCCTGCCCACCTGCAAATGGCATGGTAGCAGTGCCGTGTGTCAGCATCCACAAGCCAGCCCTGCTTCACACATTAATTTTCCAGTCGGTCCTGTGTCCCTAGGAGCTGCTTTCCCAAGCCAGTGTGTGTCACTGGTATAACACACTGTCCAGCGTGGGTAATGAAGCATGTAGGTTATTGCCTCCAGAAGGGGGAGGGCAGTCTCACAGCACACGCTGAGCACTGACTCGGCATGTGTGGCGTGTGTAGGTCTGTTGGACGATAGGCCATGTTGCAGAGCAAGACAGAATCATCACCCCAGGGAATCTGTGGAAATAGCATACACAACAAAGGAACTTAATTAGAGAGTTTGGGGTGCTGTAAGATACCACAGCAGAGAAGGAGTGATCCAGCTGGGTCACAGAGGTCTAAGAAGGCCTTCCAGAAGGGGTACGGTTAGACCAAGACCTAAAGAAAAAGGTGAGAAAGAACTTCCTAGGTGGAGGGAACTAAATGTGTGGAGAAGCCCGGGATGAGCAAGGCCCCATGCTTTGCAGGCTGCAGCTGGCTTGCCATGGATGGTTCAGGGAGTGTAGGGCAAGCAGTGAGACTAGGACCTGCAAGCTCTCTAAGCAGTGTGACCTCCGACCCCTCAGAGACCGTGGGGGCCACTGAGGGCTGAGGAGGGGAAATGCCAGTGCTCTCTGCTGCAGAGAACTGGGTTGGAGGACATGGTAACAAACTGGTAGTGAGAGGACCCGGAGAAGTG